GTGACTATAGATGTCGCTTCTAAGGGATCGTCCTCTGCAGGGGGAAAGGCTTGGGGCTGCATGTAAGGAGACGGGGCCTGGCCCTGCAGTGACACAGATGAGCACCACTGAGGATGGCCGTTCCAGCTCTACAGATCTGGGTGTACCTGTACAGAGCACCTCCTCGCACGCCCAGACAGGATGTGGTGGCAGCGCAGGCAGTGTTTCTGCCAGCACTCCACCACACTGGAGAGCAATGCAAGCTGGATGCGGCAGGGGCAGCACAGTGGCCAGGGGCGGGAGAGAGGGACCTGATTCGGTGCAACGGGAGAATGAAGTGACACATGCAGGATATGGGTGCCTGAATGGGAGGGCTCTCCTAGAACCTCCCCCGCCTCCAGTGGGCTCCACACTCCTCTTGCCCAGCCAATAACCCATAACCCTTGTCCTGGGATGTCACCCATAGCAGTTTCCCCTGGCTCATTCCAGTAACCCCAATAGGCTCCACATCCCCCTCACATGCCATTATCACCTCCTCAGGCTGCCCCACACCTCCTGCCTCCACTTACAAAGGTTTCAAGTTGAGTTCCTGTCCCCCACGCACCTACTGCCATTGCTTGAGGAAACCCTGTGAAGGTCATCAGCACGAGTCATCACCAGGGAGGGAAATCACGGCTGATGAAGTAGAAGGTGGGAGTTAGCCCCGCCGGCAGGGATTTGTCCACAGCAAGGAACTCTGCCAGCATGCTTAGATGGCGTCTTGACACAACAGACAGGTGTACGTGGTGCATGGTGGAGTTCACCGCATTGCAACTGTTCACTGATGTGGCTCTTTGTATTCCTCCCCAGGGTTTTGTATGTGCCCAGCCATGCCCTTCTGGGACCTTTGGAATTAATTGCAGCCAGGATTGCCCGTGCCATAATGGGGGACTGTGCGATCACGTGACAGGGAGATGCCTGTGTACAGCTGGATATATGGGAGACAGGTAAAAAAGAATCCCCAGACCAATTACTCTTCGGTATTATACATAGACTTACCTCTTTTATGCTCCATCTAAGACAATCTTGCTCTCTGAAACACAGTGTGTTATATTTCTATTGCTACAATTAGATGCATCCTTCCAGAGCAGTTCAGGCATTATAAATGTGACAATGTTATTACTTTTTATTGGCAATGTTCTCCATTTACAGTTTATTTTCTTTTTTTTTAATGCAACTTTTAAAATTTAATGGATTAAATTTAATTTAGATATTTACAGCGATAAATTTAATAGAGAGCATTACATGTTTACAAGATATGTAAATGAACCATATTTGTACAAATTAATATCCTCAAGAGTAAGCAATGCAGTAGTTTAATATGTTTCTCCCGGCCTGTCTGTGTTGCCGCAGTACCGATGTTTCTTAGACACCGGCAAAAGGTAATAAATCCTCAAAATCATAAACTAGAGGCTCACCCTTAAACTGATCAAATATTGTTTTACAAGGCAGTCTTGGATTTAGCAAAGTGTCTATACAGCAAAGTAAATGTGGGCTGTGAAATGTGCTAGTGAACCTGTGTAGATTAATTTAGCTAGCAGGGGTGATGCCAGCAGTGAAGATATGGTGGCCTGAGCTTAAGCAGATGTTAATAACCAGAGTGTATACCACAGTCTCTGGAGACTTTGTCCTCTAGTTTCCTAAGATGCCATGTCCTCAACCCTGTTTTTACTTATGCTAGCACAGAAACCAGGCCCCTGTTGCACCAATTCCCAGATGTCTTTCCCTTCTCTGCGTAACCATCAGCCTTATAGAAACCATGAATGAACCAGCCCAGTTCAGGAGGTTTCCTTCTGCTCTATTGCAACCATCACTGAAATCAGACAGTTTCCTTGTAATTAGGTACAGGCAGAAGTGCTATTTCTCGCCCGATCTGACCCCTGAAAGCATTGTACAGCCGTAACCAAACACAATTTTAAAGCAGAATGCTTTAAAAGGGCCCAATCCTGTGACAATCCGAACCCTCATTGCAAAAGGGTTTAAATGAAGACACTCCGAAATGGAGCACCTTCAGTAACTTGTGTCTGCACATGCTGGGAGCAGGGCTGGGTTGATGCAGCTCAGCCCTGCTCCCAGCATTGTCTTCAGAGTGGGAGCAGGGGAAAGGAATGGAGGAAGTTCAGTCTGAGTTTTTTTCAGCTGATGCTGAAGGGTAGGGTGGGTGGATTGGATCCCCCCTGAGGTGGCGGGCTTCAGTCCACCCACCCCACCCTCCAACACCAGCCAGGCAACATCCAGAACGAGCTTCCTCTTTCCCCCATCCCATTCTGAAAACAGCGCTGGGGCTGGGAGGGTAGAGGAGCATTGCTAGGGGAGAGTGGCTACAGGGTTGCAGCCACTCTAAACAGCAGCTGGATCTCCAGGACCCAACAGTGAACATCTGTTGGGTCTGGGATATCATTGCAACTCATGGCGCTTCCTGCGAAGTGCCATGAGTTACAATAGGGAGCTGCTCTTCTGTTGGCACCTTAACTGGCAGCAGTATTTTTCCCAGAATGATTTGAGATCCAGTCAAGGAGAAGATGGAATGTAGAACTAGAAATCCAGTGCGCTACAGTCGTCGCAAACCAGCAAGAGAGGTCTGTCCAAGGGGTTCCACAAAAACATCCGCTCCAGCCTCTCCAACACATCACAGCCACAAGGCACCCAATAACTGCCCACGGCTGACTGAGGGTGCCACAGGAAGAGAGCGGGAGAGACTAGGGCACTGTGGGCCCCTGGAACGGCTGGTACTTGTTCAGTGACACAGCTCTGATGATCCTAGGAAGTGAATGTACCCCAGGCTGCAGAGGAGGACAGCTCTGCTCCCACCCCTACCCCTACTGTTCTTGCCAGGATGACTTGGAGGAGTTATTGCGAAGGGTTCAATTTTGAAGAGAAACCTGTGTCATTATAGCTGCCTCATGGACAGGGCAGACAGTTGAGATCCCTGAGGCACAACTCAGTGCCGCTTTGGTGCTGGAAACCCTCTAAACCATCACATATGGCAGTTTTCACCTTGTTTCCTGTCTGGAGATGGCTGTCAAAGCACCAAAGGGTGGCTTCAGCTCAACACCCAGTTGTGGAGACTGGGCTGAAATTGCAGGCTGTTTGCATTCGTGGCCATGGCCAAGGGCTGGCCTCCTGCGCCCAGGAAACCTCTGGCTCTCGGTCCACTGGTTTATTTGTTGCAGACTGAGATCACTTTGTAGCTGTGGGAGAACCCACTGGGTTAGAGCTGCTGCTAGCTCCCAGCCAGCAGCCTACAGCCAAACCAGTTCTTTTGCTCTGCTGCCAAAGCAGCCATGAGGGATGACATGCAGCAGAGGACCTGGCTCACCTACAGGAGTCTGGCAGGAAGGAGAAGAAAGAAAGGAACCTGCCCCCTCTCGCCCTGCAGCTCACGCACTAGTGACAGCAGGAAGAGAAACAGTCCTGGGGGACTGGGGAGAGGACAGGGAAAGTGAAGGGCACTGGAGTGAGGGATCCAGCCTCCCTTGTTCTTAGCCCCAGAGGCAGCAACCCCCTGAGCTGCCTCGGAGAGGGGGAGCCCCCCGGGAAGGGAGACGGCAGGAGGAGACATGCCCACAGGGAGCTCTGTAGAGGAGTGAGCACTGCAGCACACGGTGGGGAGAATGGCAAAGTACACAGGCCTCATGGGGTAGAGATAAAATGGATGTGGTCCCTCAAAGGGTGAGAGTTTACAGAGGGGAGAGAGACAGAAAGAAAAAGAGGGGATGACTGGGAGAGGCAGTGGAAAGAAGGGGGATATGTAGGGGGGTGTATGTGGGACCCGATCCAAGCCAAACCATGAGAAGCAAGTAGGCTCCATTGGTACTACTCACCTAGTGATGGACTTTGATGGGCTGGGGCTGTGAGGAGCAAAGGAGGCATGAGGGATAGGGAATGGGATCAAGATGGGATGAGGGGTTCCCAAAGGGCCACACAGACTAGGAGAAACATGAGATCAAAAGGGAATTGAGTTGTGGTAAAGGCCGATATGCACCGAGCCCCATCTCGTCTTCTCTGACCACTGGTCTCAACCTGGAGACCTACCTTCTCTTAGTGGAAATGGTCCTAGCTGTTTAAATGGACACCAGAGAGTTTATGAGGAGCCTAGAGGATCGACTTACCAGCTTTAAAGGACAAAGGTGAAATATGGGCCCCATTAAGCCAGTGTGACTTTTGCCATTAACTTCAACAGGGTGGGGGAGGGGTGCGGCAGGATATCAACTGTAACGATTTGTTCTTAGGACGAGTACATTTCTTTACCCATTGTTAACCACAGATAGTTAATAGTAAATCTCCCATTGATTTCCATGACAGCAGAAACAGGCACAAGATTTAAAAAGTCCGGATTGCTTTCCCTGCTATTGCTCTGCCTTTCATTCAGCTTGGACAATGGGGAAGGTTAGCCGGGCTCATTCTGGAGTACAGTCTGTTTTGCTGTCTGGGTCTCGAGCATTATCTCAATGCTGCAAATATAAATTACAGCCAGAGCCAGCAGAATGCTATTTCCAAACACAACAATGCTTTCTTTGACATTTTAAAAAATATCAGCATACTCTGCTGTTAATAATAGGTTGTGTTAAAAAAAAAAATAGTAACATACCCTTATTATCTGTCGGTATCCATTTTTAATTGCCAGTAAATATCTTGACAAACCTGCAGGCTCTGGTCCTGCAAGAAAGATAGTGACATCTATTTAGATAAATATTTGTGGAAGTAGTATATTCACAAAGACCCGTGGAAGTATAATTGTCACTTTTTGTTCGCCACCTGCTTGCTGGGAAGTGCCACAGCATGACATATCTGCAGTAAATTGACAAGCGCTGTTGATAGCTCCCGATAGCTTTGTGCTGAACTAAAATGCCTTCAGCTCCCATGTAAATGTAGGCATTGTAAATTCTTTGAATGGAATAATAGCAACTGCGCACCTGGAAGCTGGGGGGGGAAAGGTATGAAAATTCTCGGTCTGACAAGTAAAGTGAGTGTACTGTCTCAGCTGGGTTTTCCGTCTTGCCAGCAAGCCTAGAGATTGGCTCTTAATAGGGTAAATACAACATTTGTTATGATAAAATAAGCAGACCTAGTCTCTAGCCTTTTCATTTGTATAAATATTTCATAGCTATGAAAACAGTGATACCCACATTTTTAAAGTGTACTCGGGATGGCATGCAATTTTTGTCTATTGTACAAAAATATGTTCAGTATAAAGAAAATGGTGACAACATTATTCTTCTATGAAAAGCATTCCTGGAAATAATGTAGGTGCATGTAATATGTTCATCTGTTAAACAGGCTGTCTTATGTTTAATATTTTGTGAAATTGCTTCCATTAATTCTACAGGTGACAGCCGTATTATCCTATCTCAACCCAAATAATTGTAGTACATATTAAAGTTCAGTAGATATTATAATCCAAGTCTCCCCAGATAGGCAGAAAGCAATGTAAATTAAACAAGAAACATATCTAGGGCGTAGCAGCTCATTTTGTAATTTAATTGAACAATGTATCTGGTTGTTAATGGTGTTATGGACACATTAGATTGATATGTTGCGAAGGAAG